TAATTGGTAATTCATTTACCGACTGACTGATTGATAGAAACACCCAAACACTTGAGGCTATTTGCCGAAGATATGGCGGTCACATCAACAAGAAATGACCAGCCAGTCATATGGAACAGCTGTGTATTATATTTGCCTTCGGCACTACTGCAGATCACATTGCCTTTGTACACATTAGGACAGAAATTCATGGACAGCCACTTCCGATAACTTGCCGAAAATGGTTAACGAGGTTCAAAGCTCAGGTAGTGATAATCTGTATAGGTGCGGTCCGAAGGGATAATGGAAGTAATCAGTGCAGAGAAGGAACTGTCAAGTCAGATTTGATCTACGACCCAAGTTTGAAAAGCATATATAACCAGCCAGTTTGTTTACTGGCTGCTAAGTCTATGCGGGAATTGAGAGTGGTAAAATAGCGGTACAGATGTGCAGGTCTGCTTTAATCTTTCGAATAGACGAAGGTTAGTGTTTCCCATGGCGTAAAAACCTATGACTCGAAGCTCCCTCAGAAACACAAGCCATCAAATTCTTTTGCGGTGGTTTTGCTAAAACTGCTTTTTGGTAATGAAGCCGGTTATCCAATTACCTCTAGTTGTGCGGATAAAATCATTGTACCACCAGAACTTTCAGCAGGGTTCATGGGTTCCGCCTGTAAAGCGATGACCGATAGCGGGGTAAACGAAGTGTGAAGAGTTAACGCATGGCAACAAAGGAACCTGTTGCCGATTGATAACTACCACCAAAAATTGAAACATCTCTATGCACCATGAAATGACGCAGCATGACATCCAGTAGACACAGACGCATTGATGTCGTGCTGTCCGTGATGATGATGAATATCATATTTCAGCTGTTTTCATCGGAAAGGTGAGCGTGCCCTATTGTACTTTTTCTGAAGTAAAGTACTGACACGCGAAAGTCGCATCAAGTAGCTGAACAAATTTTCCAGTGGAAACTGAAATTCTGTATCCGGCCGCATGAATAAAAGAGAAATTAAAAAAGAATATTAGAGATCTCCTCCTTACAGTTCCAATTGACATGAAAGGCCGAGCACGTTTGAAATGTCACCCGCGCATTTGATGACAGGTTACATTGACAGCACGGATTGAAGGCCACAGAAGAGGGGAATAGGTGTACAATAACTCAGTGATTCTTGGGTTCCAAAATTTGTTTCGGTCGCCATATGAAAATGCATCTTCCTGTTACAATCATCATGAATATATTCTCTAATTTTCACTTTTCTGGGTGGTGTCAAGGTTGACCATGGTCAACAACTCCAACAACATATAGCCTTCATAAAACAAGCTCACTGTGCCATATAAGCAGGTATTTAACAGCTGGAGCAACAAAGAAGCGCAGCAAAATCCCAGTTACCACCGAGAAAAAGATCGCCAAAGTGATAATGTGAACATCGGCAGAGAATCGAGTTCTTCACGAGTTCAAATGGCAATGCCACTCACAACCAACAGAACACTTCAGAGTTTCGCCTACGAATGTTGACGCAAATTCTACACCGAGCGTAAACCAGTTGAATCCATACGTTTCATTGTTAAAGTCAGAAACCTTAAAATTAAACGCTATGATTTAGTGCTCGTCGTACCCCTCCGGTCTTTTAAGTCATTTTCGACACTGTTATCAACTGTACTCAACCTGATTGCCGATGGAATGAGTCATGGGAGTCTATGCCACCAACACCATACAAGTCACAGTTGATTGAGGGCCGAGACTACTTCAGGGCTTTCCTCCCCGAACGAACCACATCAGCACCTCGAATAACGATGAAACACCCAACTCGAGCAATCATCATCATCATCGACAGCATGACATCA